AGGATTTTTGACAGTTGTTTGGCGCTTGACGCGCCAATTTAGGGATGGCAGTAAGGCAGTGTCAAATCGAGCTGTCACAACTGATACCACCTTGTATTATTGCATCATGCAAATTAGCCACTTTAAATGCACAATTTAGGTAAAATGATGCATTAAAATGTGTTGTCATGTTGAATTAGATCTTCTTTACTTAAATAAAAGTGTAAAATAGTGATGCTTGTGTAAACTAACTCTCAGCTGACGAACCCGAAACTTTTTTCTCAAAACCATTTACAAATACAACGTCGCGTTCTTACGAATGTTGTATTTTTGGTTTATGGGTTCTTATAGATTTACGTTCTTTGCAAAAACCAAATTACAAAAAGAATTAAGNAAAGTGCTAAATGTTGCATTTTAAATGCAGCAAAAACGCTGCATTACGTTCTTTGCAAAAACCAAATTACAAAAAGAATTAATGTATGGCATGCCTGCTGTTATCAGTAACATTTCTACTGGAAGTAAACAGCTGATTATTAATCACTGTTTGTTTGTGAACATAACGAATCTCAAATTAACTAAAAAACGCCGAAAAATTACTAGCATGCCTGAATTTACAGTGAGATTAGTACTTAGTGATATTGAGGGCACAACGACCTCCATCAGTTTTGTAAAGGTTATCATAAGCTTTATCAGTAGCCATATTTTCCAAATTTTTGCTCACAAAGAATTTTGAATATTATAGGATGTGCTCTTTCCCTACGCAAAAACTCACACTAAAGCATTTCTGGAGGAAAGATGGCATGATGCAGAAACACAACGTATCGTCCAGGACTTTCGCAAGCTGCCACAATATAAGGAATATTTTGGAGGTGGCGATGAACAACCAGCCGCATCCGCCGGAAATATTGCTAGTTTTGTGAATTTCCTTATTGAAAAAGATCTCAAACTTGGACCACTGAAAACCCTGCAGGGGCTAGTGTGGGAGAAAGGATATGCAAGCGGCAATATTAAAGGACAGTAAGTAAACTTTTAAGTCCAGCTATTGCAAATTTTGAAACTTATGTTTCCGCGGTTCTAGAGTTTTCGCAGATGTTCCAGTGGCATTTAAGCGTTGGCATGAGGCTGGCATAAGCATTGCAATTTATTGTAGTGGTAGCGTTAAGGCACAGCAGCTACTTTTTAGTCAAACAGAATTTGGGAATTTACTAACGTATATTAGCGGTCATTATGACACTGCCATTGGTCACAAGCAAGAGAAGGAATCGTACGTCAATATAGCGAGTGACTTGGCATTATCTAGTAAAGACATACTGTTCCTAACTGATGTAGTTAAAGGTAAGAAAACCTGTATGTTCGCTATGTACATTACTAAAATCCGTCCATTTTACAGAGGCTGAAGCAGCTCGCGATGCTGGAATGCAGGTCGTGATACTTAATCGTCCCGGCAATGCACCATTGACTGACGATGACAAAATTGCATTTACAATAGCGGATACTTTTGACAACTTAAAGATAAATTTAAAATAATAATTGAGGCTACGTAATTACTTCTTCAAAACCAAATCAAGGAATATTTTCTACTTATCATTAGTATATGTAACTATTATTCCGTAAGGAAAACTTTTATTTCTTAACACTACTTAGTATCTACTTAGGTCTGCTTTGTTTGCATATATTACCTACAAGAATGCTCTATCTAAACTAGATAATTCATCGCCACTGTCATTTTGTGTTTGCGGAGCCTGCGTTTGTTCCGCATGTTGTTTTCCATCAGATTGCAATGATTTTCTCCTCACCGGCGTTTGTGTTGCACTTCGCGAATGCACTTTTGAACTACCACCATAAATTTTTTGTAGTATATTTAGTTTGTTACTCCTTTGACTGCATTCACTCTCAACCCGCTCACGAGTGTACACTTTTCTACGACTGTCGGCGCTTTTACTACGGGCTTTGCGTTGATTGGTTTGGCAGCAGTGGCTGGCACCCTCACGCTGACATGTATGTGTTAATTTCCCAATATGAGGACCCCAAAATGTGACACCTTCCAAAAGAAGTGGTGCTGATTTTACGCGCTGACGCATTAACTCCATGTTCAGCTCGTATTCGCGTTTCTGCATTTCCTGTTCCGCTTTGCGGGTGGCTAAACGCATGGACAGTATCTCTTTGTGCGACTCACTAAAATGTGGAATGATATAAATCAGTAAGTTTTTCATTTCCATTATATGTAATCTCGCTTACTTGAGGGAAAGTGATTTCCACGCTGGTGTTTTGCGTACTTCCCAATCGAATTGTGGCGTGCTATCGTGGTATGTGCAGTTGTTTTGCAGTTCCTTGAGTTTCTTTTTCGAAACTTCAACTCTTAAAGTAGCTGCGAGGTTAGGTCTGGCCACCGGATGTACAGGTGATGGAGTTGAATTCTATGAATATTGATTTTTTTAAATGCAGAATGAATTCAATAAAAAAGGTAATTAATAAAAGCATAAAGCGACCTATTGAGTCCAACGCCATATACATATATATAAACTTACGGAAAATATCTTTAGACTTTCCTTTTTCGTGCCCAAGTTAAAAATTGAAAAAGGCACTTTAAAGTCCCTCTGTTGCCTTTTCTTCTTTCTTCCACCGTTCGAGCGACTTGAAGATTTCACGGAAGTTGTTTCACTACTTGGTGGATCGATAACAATCTTCGGAGGGATGCTCTCGGGCGAAGTACTATGGGAAGTATAATTATTTTAACACTGTTATTCAGCCTTTTTTCTTTCATTTCACTCATACATGTTTGTTTTCTGTGCGAAATAACTGCTGAATTTGGAAGGCGTTCGATTTATAAGAATTTGAGTTTCAGAAACCTTATCCACCGGATGTTTTATTTCTGTATCTTCGCTTACTCGGCTATCGGCGATGCTATTAATGTCATTAAAAGAAAATGATTTTCTTAAAAACTTCCGAAGACTCGTGTTACTAGCTTTGGAATTCGGACGCATATTGTCTTCAGGCTTTTTGTAGAATTCACGAATGTTTGATGCGCTAGGTTTATTTGGTAGTCTGTACGGATTTATATTAGAGCCATATGTATGTGTTTGAGGTACTATAATGCATTACTTATCTGTGCTCTTTTCCAAATCGCTGCCTTCTTTAATGTTTGGGTTAACTTTAGTTGTTCTAATTTTTGATTCCGTATACGCGGCAAATGAATGACGTTGTTTGAGCTCGTCTTCAAAGTCTTTTAAAGTTTTTTGGAATTCCTTTACTTCATCCTCAAACTCTTTGTTATAACTGTGAAATTTGTTTATGTATAATCATGGTATAATTTCACCATACATCATAAAATGAAATAAAATAAAATAAATAAAATGAGACAAGAGAACGAATAAAACTCCTCACTTCTTTATTACGCTATGCTTGGTAAAGTCTAATTTATGCGCATTGCTGATAGGAGTTTCTGACGAATAGTGCAGATTTGAGTAACCTTGACTTTTAATCTTTCCAGCCTTCTTTTTGCTACTACTTTTGCCGGTAGACGGTCTACTCTTCGGCTGCTTACTCGACTTCCCCCGCTGGATGTTGATAAAATGTGAAGATACAGAGGATGTCGTGCTGCTTGACTCCACCACACATGCTTGCGCCGTTTTGGTACGCAGCTCACAGCATGTGGACCGCAATGTATCAAGAGTCGAATAAAACTCTTCATTCGGTAGATGATTTATATCGCAATAATCTAAAATTTGGGATGTGTAAATATTCTACATTACATCAAATGCATTTTCGTACCTGGTATGCTGTCGTATAGTTTAGCCAAAGAACGTATTCCACTGTTTCCCGCCATTGTGTCTACATTTTCAAATTCACTTGTTTTTAGCGATCTATTTGCAGCGCTTAACGGTGTTGCCGCCAACCGTCCTAAATACATTTTTGGTCGATTATATATTGGTGCAGGACAATTATTGCATGGATCGATTGGAACTTTCAGACATGAATGTAAAAAGGATCTACTAGTATGTGTATTCATGCTGCTTATAATTTAAAGTTCTTACGCTAACTTATTGCGTTTACTACTTGTGTACTAGCATAATGTACAAATATTTTCGTTTTTGCTACTATCTGTGCCGATTAATTTTTCTTTATTTTCCCTGATTTATCAATAGTTCCAGATAATCTGTTTATGTTGTTTTATTGGTAGTCAACGTAACCAATGTTGGTTAGTTTTGTGTGAGTATCCGCCTTTATTGTTATCCATAATACGTTCGTTTGTTATTAACAACAAAGCTGTTATAATAATGATAAGCAGCATACTGGTGATGGAATGTTGATAGGATTGTGCCCAACGACTTGTGGAGTTCAAAGTAATTCGTTGTGTGTATGTTTAGATTGGAGCATGTATGCACTTGCAATTAACTTGCGATAAATACGCATTGATAGCTCCAGGAAGTTACCAGCTAAACGTATACATACTTAAATCAGTATTATGTATCTACTCTTTCCAAGAGGCAGCGACAATGTGGTTGCCGTTTCTGACATCCAATAGGAAGTTTACGGTCTAGCCAGGTAATCCGCTTAAATAACTTATTACTCCAAATATAGCTGCGTACATACCATAGAAAATCGCTATCTAATCTTGAGGCGCTAGCGCCGGCTTCAGTATTTTTTTTTTATTGTAGAGCGGGTATATGTTTAGTTTGAAGGGCAGGGTGATCAAATTTTCATCGATTTCCGGAAATTATTTTCCGGCGGAAACAGTGTTATCGAATATAACGATTTACGGAAATCAGACGTAAGAACTCACCGTTGAAACCCATTTAAACTCTGTGCCATTACTTGTTAGAAAATTCCTTTGAACGAAGTATTGTATGAGTTGAAAGGTAAAGGCTTGAAAAGATTTAAAGACACTTAGTTTAAGGTTTTGCTTTAATTTCGACATTTTTGATTAAAACTATACATAATTCCTCCACATACAACTCTGCAATAAACATGGAAATTCACTGCAACCCTGGGTTGGACTACTCATTCACTGAACAACCTCAACTGTTTTGCCAGCAGTCTTCTCGTGAATTTCTTGGCGTTTGGTTTGTTTTTGTGAAAATTGTTTCAAATGGTGATAGTACAAAAATAAAATTGTGAAGTTGTTAAAAAGTATTAAACGAAAAAGTGGTGGCAAACGTAAAAAGTATAAAGCGACTACGGGCAATAGATATTTCATTATTATAATCAATTGGTGGACGCGAATTGCGTACATTACATCTGTGTCACTATAAAATGCGTCTCACCGTCGGTTCAACAGCCACAATTGTTGCGCTGTCGCTCTTGTCCGTGTTGGTAGCTGGACAAGATGCCAGTGCTGTGGAAGAGGTAAGTGAAATACGTAATTTTGTTATTGCTTCAGCTGGTGTTAATTGTTCGCAACAATCATTGCGACTTAAGGTTAATGCTTACTTTGATTGCGTGGTTGAGATTTCATAATATAACTTGTAAATAAATAAAAATAAAATGTGATGAACTAATATGCATTACATAGTATAGGAATGGCAAAATTCAACTCTTTGTTACCAGCAAATTGTTGACTGCGTTAGCAAAATCTCGAAAATACATTTATATTTTGGTGACGATGATTCATTTCTTGGCCACTTTAAAAACTGCTTAATTATCAATTTCATCAGGTGCGCATTTAAACATATAAATACAATAGATTTAACTGATTATGCATTTCGAATAGGAAATGGGGTGCGTTTTAACTCTTGCAAAACAAAGAAGTCAAGTTGTGGGAGATTTACTACACATTTGTGTACTACCTACTGAAAGATATACAAGGAGTAATGGTTAAGTGTAATAGCCTATTTCCACCAAAGGCTTAACTGCAGTTAAGAGCTCAGAGAAGTTCAAATAATCCCGCAGGGTTGACAACTGTTGATTTTCAAAAAGCACCAAAAACTTGGAAGAAAAAGCGTTTTACCACACTAAAATCACCAAAATCAATTGATGCTTTTTTCATAACAGTTTGTATGTATTTAAAAAAGACAAAAAATTAACAATATTTACAAGAATCCATACATAAATCAATAAACAAAACTTTTTCGCTCATAACGATTGAAAAGCCACATGCTATAATGACTCATGCTTACGACGTAATACCGAAGTACTGCACATTAAAACTGATATATCTCAAGAAAGGAAACTCGAATCCTAACAAACGAAAATCATGCCCTAAGTAGAAATGAGAAAAAAAAAAATTGTTTTCATTATATAACCTCAAATATCGCCAAAAACCGTGATTTTTGCACTTTGAGGTTAGGATATCTCAAAATTCTAGTGCTAGTGTCTTTTACTCAGGTGGTACAAAAATAAATATTTTTACAAATAATTAGAAAAGAAAAAAAGAAACACATAACTTCTGCAAGTTCAGATTTTTATCAATCATGGTTGTATTTAAGTGCATTTAAATTTGTAGATTTTTGTAAATTCAGTGCTGCCAACAGCTTTAAATATTTAAAAATTATATCAGGTTTTAACTATATCGGAGTAATTTTAGTTGAGAAAAAAGTACTAAAAAATACTAGGCACTAAATAATTTTTTTTTTGGCGTTTTAATTTTCAAAAGCACTAATCTAGTGCTTAAAGCACCCCCTTCGAGTTGTAATCTCCGTTTTTAAAACGGCATAAACTGCAGTTAAGGCCTGGTGGAAATAAACTATAAACTATAGATTCGGTTTTAAAAACAATGATATTTACTAAAGACGTTGGTACTAATAACAAGAAATTATAACAAGTCATTGAACTTTTAACTAACCAACCGTAAAAAGCGCCTATATGGGAGGCTAAGTGGTTCATATTTGTTCTTCACCATGCGCTGCCCATCACTCCCATCAAATAATTAGGTTTGATATACATTTAGAATGATTTGAAATTCTGATATTGATTTGAAAGTTACAGCTTTCTCAATAAAAAGAGGAGTTTGATCTCCATTTGAGATTATGGTTAACTCTCAAATCAATTTCAAAGGTTCAGTTCAATTATACTTCAAATGTGAAAATTAAATTTATTATAGGAAATGTATATTTCATATTTATTTCTTACATACATCTTTCTTAAAATCAACGTCAAATGTAAAATTTAAACCTTTTCAATTTGAGAATCATTTGAGAAAAATTGAAAGAAATTTTTCTCAAAAGTTTTAAACTGTGTTTGCTGGGCTGTACCAATATCAATTCAAATTGGTTTACTCGTTTGACCGATCGCCTAGAGCTGCTTGATTATGCGCTTTATTTCTCAAATTAGAGCAGCATATGCGTCTCTAAGAAACAATTGAAAACAATTGCGAATTCCTCTTTGTTATCAGCGAACATGATAAGAATACTTAATACAAAACAACGCAAAAGTTAGTATAATAAAAGTAGTGGCATCCAATTCGTTTACTTGCAAATTCAAAGCAATTTAAGTATGTATAATCACACATCCCAGTGGATAATTTCAGGAGTTAAGAGCCCTTGCGAAAGGCCTTCCTGAGAGTCAAGAGGCCTTCCACTCCACATTCCTTTCTCCTTTCTATTTTGTATAGAGTGGCACAAATTGAAGGGATTCTTCTTTCGCTACCCGTGGAAGGCCTTCCAGACGGCTTTCATAGGATGTACTTTTCAGAAGGCCTTTTGGAGGAGTCGCTTTAAAGTTGCTTTTTTTTATTTTTAAAATTTTACATCTTTGAAGTTGTTGCTTAAGGTTTATATCAAATATGTCTTATTGCAAATTAAAGTGTTAATTGAAATTCCTTTGTAATGCTAAGTAATATAAATTTATGCATTTATGGGTAAGCCCTTCTAGATGGCATGCAAGGAAGCGCTGTTTTCAGCCCTTCTTGGGTAGGCCTCTTAGAATGGCTTTACTTAAGGAGGCCTACCTAAATTATCTCTGGGATAAATCTATTAGGTTTAATGTACCTACATATACATTAATATTGCCGCGATCCAAAAAAAAATAATAAAAACTGCCAAAAACATCCATTAAAATAAGGAAATTATTTAACGGACTTTAATAAGTATAACGAAATATGTTTGGAGTTAAATTGGTAATGGGAGTAAAAAGTAGGGACAATCTAGCACTGCATTTTCTCCTTAACTGCAAGAATTTTATAGTCCAAAAACTGCTCTGTTTGAAATCACACTCTTTGAAGCTTTCAAGATTTAGACTAAGGATGGAAACTGCGCAGGCTTTACCGACGTAACTACTGAACAGATTCAGACGTGAATTTTTTGTCGGAAAACAAATAGTTCACACTAAAACATTTTTCTGCGGGGTTGTGGTGTGTGTATTCAAGCAACCACAGACATGCAGGGACCTACAGTCGGGTCTACGTAACTGGAACGACCCAGATATATGTATATTTGGCCAAGGACTGTCACTCCAGCAACATCGCTGTTCTACATTGTCTCCGAACGAAAGATTGTTTATGTAGAAACTTTTTCATGCCAGATATGCACTAGGAGGCTGGCCATTGCCTGCCGAGAGGCGACTCTTATTAGAAATAAATATCGATGTAGTGAAAACCTGTGACGACTCGGTCGACATACAGTAAGAAGAAATCACTTTCAGGTCTATTCTAAATTTTGTAACCGGTTATTAAAGTGTCTGTCAATTTTTAAACCATTTTCGCATTTTGGGCGCTCTTGTAACCGGTAAATTTTGTTATCATCTCATATGCTGGTAACAAAATATTGCCCCGTGAAATATGCAATACAAGATTTTCCACAAATCTTCATAGCTGAACTGCTGAATATTTTCAATGCATTACCAACGTACCTAGAATCGCGGTGACAAGAAGTGGTAACATTTTTTGGTAATACAATTTTCCGGTCACAAAATCTTCGGTAACGAAGTACCGAAGTACGAAAATAATCTCCATAAATTTATCTGCCCTTAAAATACAAATTTTGTTTTCAAAAAATGTTTTTGAATTGAAGATAAAATTTAAAATTACTTCAGAAAAGGGCCCTTAAGGCGTATTCATCGTTTTAGTTCTCAACTTTTTCTTCCATGTGGAAAAAAAGATCTGAACTAAAACGATGAATCCGCCTTTAGTATTAACTTTGAAGTTCACTAACAAATTCTACACTAGGGCGGGTTGATTCTTTTTTTAATCGTATAGCAAAAACGTAAACTACATAAAATTCTAAAAAAAATTCTCCGAAGAAACCATGTCTAAAATAAAATCCTAATCCGCGCCTCTCGACTTGAAAATTTATATGGCCGCCTTTGCCAAAAAAATAAATGTTAGAAAAAAATAGGTTTTTCCAAAAAGAAATCGAATTTTCTGAATAAAATTGTTTAGTAAGGTAGCACTTTATATTTTTTCTACACTCAAAATTTTTTTCATTAAAAAAATATTCACCCAAGTAAAAAAGTTTGTATATAATTTTATATTTAATATTTTTATAATATATATATATAATATTTAATATTTTTATAAATATATATATATATATATATATATATATAATATAATAAAACATAAAATATTTCAAAAAAAGAAAATAATTTTAGCGAAAAAAGAGGAAAAAAATTTTCGATTCAAGACGCGCGGATTAGGGTTTGATTTTACGTTCCCACGACAGTCGGGTCTACGTAACCGGAACGACCCAGATTTATATCTGGCCAAGGACTGTCACTCCAGCAACACTCCCCAAAATGTCTTTGGGGAATTTGTATGCTGCTACAACAACAACAACAACAGGGTTTGATTTTAGACCCATGGTTTCTTCAGAGAATTTTCTTAGAATTTAATGTAGATTACGTTTTTGCTATACGATTTTTACTTTTTTTTCATCCATACAAATCAACCTGCCCTATTGTACACCCCTGGCCATGATTGCCACAAAAACGTTAGGCCTTCACTTTACATATCGCTAATTAATGTAAGATAAATATGGTTAATTAGATTGCTACTACCCCAAGTAATTAGCAAAAAAATTAGTGGAAAAAAATGAATGAATGAATCTATAGAGTACTGCATTTAAGTCTAACGAGAGCATTTAATTTGGGCTTGTTTTACCTTTAGGTAGCGAAATAAGCATTAGTTGCAAACAATATCATTTTGAATTTTACTACCATCTTACTGACCGACGATATTTTAAAAGAATTTTAATTTTTGTTAGGTTTTGCTTTCGTTTTCTGCAAAAAAAAAAAAATTAAATCAACGTTAGCTTTTGCGCATTATTACCCTTAAATTGAATGGGCTATAAAACTGTATAAGTACTAAGTAAACAAATTCTAACACTTCTCACAAAAAGGTTTCAAATTTCGATTAAGCGGTGACTGTCTGTCCGTCCGTCCGTCCGTCTGTGCACACGATAACTCGAGTAAAA